CTGGAGCATAGGCACTAACTGGAGGTGTAAGTTGAGGAACATTCAGTGTCAGGAAGGCTGGGGGTGTGGGAGAAGGAGGGAGGATGCTACTGCTGCTGCTGCTTAGCCAAGGTGCAACATAGGACATGCCCTTTGAGCCTCAGTTCTTGCAGATGCTCTAACATCTTGTGTGTCTGTGTTCCAGACCTCCTCCTCCTGATCATAAACCTCAGGCCAGGTATGGGACCATCTCAGGGAGCCAACAGCACTCTCACCATGGAGAAGACAGCATTATATGAGAAGCTGCCACAGAGCTGGCATGCTGAGGACTTCGTCACTCCTACCCAGGATCTCTCTGGGTCCCGCAGTGTTATGATGGACAGCACCAAGATTTTGGGGGTCCAGGTTGTTCTGATTGCTGCCTACTCCCTCATCATTCTGCTGGGGTTCATTGGCAACTCCCTGGTCATCTACATCATAGTGAAGTACAAGACCATGAGGACTGTCACCAACTTCTTCATAGCTAACCTGGCCTTGGCAGACCTGATGGTGGACACGCTCTGTCTGCCTTTCACCCTGGTGTACACCCTGCTGGACGAATGGAAGTTTGGAGCTGTTCTTTGTCACCTGGTCCCTTATGCTCAAGCTCTGAGTGTCCATGTGTCCACTCTCACCCTAACTGTGATTGCCCTGGATAGGTATCGGTGCATCGTTTTCCACCTGGACAGCAGGATCTCCAAGAGGCTCAGCTTCACCATCATAGCTGTCATGTGGCTGGCAGCAGCTGTCCTAGCAGGTCCTCTGGCCATCTTCAGAGAGTACAGATATGAGGAAATCCCATCCATCAACCTCAAAATGGCTGTCTGCTCAGAAAAGTGGCCTTCTGGTAACAACAGAGATGCCACCATCTACAGTCTGTCCATGCTTCTCCTGCAGTATGTTCTCCCTCTTGCAATTATTTGTTATGCCTACACCAGGATCTGGTTCAAGCTGAAAAACCATGTCAGTCCCACTTCTAGGAATGAAAACCAGTGCCGGAGAAGGAAGACAACCAAAATGCTAGTGATGGTAGTTGTGGTGTTTGCAGTCTGTTGGCTCCCCTTCCATATATTCCAACTTGCCATTGATCTTGATCTGGTTCTTATCTTCCATGAGTACAAACTCTTGTACACTGTCTTCCATGTCGGGGCCATGTGCTCTACATTTGTCAACCCTCTGCTCTATGGGTGGATGAACAAGAACTACCGGAATGGCTTCATTATGTTCTTCCGTTGCCAGAACAAGCCAGAAACCATCCACACTGAAGGCTCAGTTAGAGGCAGGTCATACATCTTCAGGGCAAATACCCTAAATGGGAGCATCAAACAGACTCCTGGCAAAGGATCCGTGCCCACAGAGGTTTAGGGATGGCACATCCTCCTCCAGGACTGAGGCTGACTGAGCCCAGAGACATTCTTAGGTGAATGCCTTTTTTTGACAGAACATTGTGCTGCCAATCACAGCTACAGCAGCCATGTAGAAATACCCCCCTGTATCTCTTGAAACAATAAATCTGGTGTATTTCTGTCTTATCAAACAAATGAATTTTTCCTGTCTCTGCCTTCAAGTTATACATGCAGAAGCATGAAAAAATAACACACAGAGAAGGCTTTCATTTAGCCAGAAAAATACACCCTTTTTGCTATTTCCATTTGCCAAAGTGGGTTGCTCAACCTTTCACCCCCTGACACATTGCACATTACGAACGTGGAACCATTATTGTGTGTGATTGTTCATCTGTACATCTCTTACCCAAAAGCCTTAATGTTCCATCTTTAGCCCATGCCTCCAAGGGGAGGGAGACGTGCACTCTTACACAAACTCCAGCTGGCTAGTGCCATCACTCACTCCCTGGCCTGGGAAGGGAGCTGGCTGGTGCAAGTTGAAGTTGGGCAATCCATGATCTCTTGCCCAGTGTTTGCATGAATCTGCATTTGCAACCCACGGGATGAGCTCTAGTCCTCAGGAAGCCCAGGAGGTGGCAGTGGCACTGCTTACCACGGTCTTCTTTACAGGTGCCACAGCAGGGTTTAAGGAATATCTCATTAGCCAGGGCTTGTGAGCCAGTGCCCTGGGTTTAGCAGAGAACAGAGCAGGCAAAGAAGCACATAGGAATGGAAAGAGTTGGGGCAGCTGATCAACAGGACTGAAACTGAACCTAAGGGCTTGGCAAATGCAATCTGCTCCAGACCTCAAGATGTGTCTCCTGTCATGCAGTAACTTGACAGGTGCCAACATGACCAGAGAGGCAAAACTGCCAACAACATCATTCTCCAAGGCTCTCAGAGGGATTAAAGCTTTCCTCTTGCTGAGGCTGGAGGTGGCATGGGTCTGCACATGGGTGCTACAGTTCAGAAGACAGATGTAACCTGCTTGCATGGTTGCCACAGATGTGGTGTCCTCTGGCAGAAGAAGACATGGAGACAAAGCAAGATATATTCCTCCAAACCAAACTGTATGTTCTCCTCCTGAAGGCTGTGTCAGCTGGGGAGTGTATTTTTAGCTCTGCCATCAAAGGAGCCTTGATTGCTACTGTGATCTCAGCAGCCAGTCACCGGTGTCATCTCTAAAAGTCAGTGTTCATCAGATTGGAAAGTAACTCCCAGATGCAGGAAAGAGACTCAACAGACCTCCTCATTAAAAATAAAATAAAAACTTTAATTTGTAGGTCTTCACTGGAGCAAGGACAAGAGGTAAGAGGACCTGCAGTACTGAGTGCACCAGCCTGAATCAGGCTGCTGGGCTGTGACTTCTGGGTCCTCAAGAGATCAGTTGCCAAAGGGCTTCTTTGAAAATCTGTCTCTCCTGCCTCCTCCCCAGCTTGACCTGCCTGCAGCCCTTATTCTCCAGCTCAGCTCCCAGCTGCCACACTAGATTTTAATCTCACTATTTATTCCTGCTCTCTGATCCTCTGTTCCATTTTCCTAAATCGGTACAAGAAAGTGGTTTCTGGTTCCTTCCCAAGAGACATCACTGCCAGGCAGGGGCTGCAGACCACACTCCACACTCGAAAGTATGGGCATGTAGCCACCTCAGCACCTGATCCTGCAGATCACAGCCTGGTTTTCATGTCAGGGAGCTTCAGGATCTATGAAGATCCTGTCAGAAAGTCACTGATGTTCCAGTAAAAGTGTCATCTGCTTCCTGAGAGGCCAAAATATGATGGGAAAATTAAGACACAAGTTAACCTTCCTCATTTGAAGTGCTGTGGAGTGGCAGTGGGAGTTTGCCATTTCATCCTGATGGAAGGAGGAGGGTATTCTCCTCCACAGCACTGGTAAATTCTGTCCCTACCTAATGAGCTGGTCATTTGTACAATCCATCCTCCTGAGGAACTCTCCCCATCTTCCCATCAAGTTTCAAGATACAAGGAAATGTTTATGTTTTGAAAGCAGCTTAAATGAGTGGAAAGAATCCAACTATTACCAATAAACACTTCAGAAAGTGATTTAGCACTCAATAATACATGTCAGAGTAAAATAACAACTTTAGCAGTGCAAGCTTGGAAGCCAATCATGCTGCCAGCCGAGATGGATGAGGAGCTAAATTGCTCTTCTAGGGGCCTTGCCAAAGGTTTTGTCCTGTGACACCACACATAGTGTCTGACTGTGGAGCAAGGCAGATAATGACATTATGAATGACTGTTTAATTTTGAGCCCAGACTTTTAAACTAAATATGGATAAATAAATAAACACATCCAAGCACTTCACAAATAAATACTGGCAGTGGCATTTACAGGACAGAGGGATTTTTATGCTGGAGCAAACTGAGAAGGAGAAACTATTTACTTTAAGTGTAACAGCGAAGTTCTGTTTGCTCTATTTAATACACTTGTGCAGCTTCACTGATGGATTTATGCCTGTGAACTCACTGCTTTTTCCTTGCCATTGGAAAAAGTTACAACTTTCCATACCCACTGCTGGCAGGGAAACCAGTAAAGCTTCTTACCAAAGGGCGATCAGAGCAAATAAATAGTATGATATAGATTGTCATGACTGCATAGAAGACAGGAATTGATTTGTTTCCATGAAACAGGAATCTGTTGAAGATAAAGGTTCCCCAAATATTAACACTCTGCTAGGGATGGCTGTAGTGCCATGATCAGCTCTATGAAACCAAAGACAGCAACAATTTAAGTTTTGAACTATTTAGAGCTCAGGACAGGTCCTTTAGTAGTTACAGATAATCTTGGAGTCATCTTCCCACTTCCTGCTCCTTGCCAAAGGTGCATCAGGGTATGCCCTCCAAGCCAAGCTCTTCTCTGCAGAGCTGGCCCTGGTGTGACTGATGTGGGATGGAATTGACTCATGTCACTGGCACAGCAGCTGACAAGGATAAGGTATTTTGTTATAGAGTCAGAAACATGGTGACAGAACTGAAAATGAACAAGTGTTTCTTCAAAGCTTGCCTTGGTCCTGGTGGCCAAACAAATTTCCTCTAAGCCTCTTCGTGATTGTTGCTGACATCCTTTTCAAAATGCTGCTTCACTTAACTGACCTGAGGATATTTCACAGCTTTTAGGAGGGAGGTTCTGAATTCCCTTAGAAACACCCTATTTCTCATGCTGGGACATCTTTCTAGTCACATCATACAAATCTTGTATGTGTTATAAAATGTACCCCTGAACAGTTCTTAATTGCCAAGTGACCCCCAGGAAATTATTAACTTTGAATAGACACCACACATGGGGATGCCTCTAGCTATCCCATGCACCATTCCTCACATGCCAGTTGAAGACAAGAACAGCTGAGACATGGCAACTTCATAGTTTGAAACCAGCAGCATCAATAACAGTTGTTCCCTGTAACAGGCTGCTCTGAGAGCTCTTGAGTCCCAGAGTCTTTTATCCCACTTCCAGGCTTGATAAAGCACATTGAAATTTGCAGAGCACAGACTGTGCTTTGGACACAGGAGCCTCTCTGAGCACTAGAAAATTTGCCTCTAAAACACTTAGTTTGTTCTGAAAATCCCTTCCCATTTGATTTCCAAAGCAAACGCATCTGTAACAAGGTAATGCATGTACAGAGAGCAAAGGTTTGGGCTTTTTACTTTTCCTCGCCGGCACTTAGATCAGTGCGGGGTGAGCTGAGTCTTTCAGTCTCTGTCAGAACCAAAGACATGATGTACTCCTGCATTTGCCTGTGCTTCATCCTGCTCCTAGAAAGGCCAGGTCCATCCCCTCGTGGCTCTGCCCTGCAGTAACATGTGCCCTCTCCCATTACCCATGGCAGCCAAAGCACACAATGTCAAATGTCACATGTTTTATTCAATACACCCACAAGTGTATGGCAGAAACACTGCTCTAAGCTCTGCACAAAGGCTCTGCAGGGAAATACGTACTAGTCCAGGAGAGAAACCGTTCCTCTAACATATGCTAATATGTTGGAGGGGCTGGTTCTGCTGAAGGGAGTCACAGACAGCTCAGCGTTTCCCTTGATATCAGGTGTTAATCTTATCATTGTTACAGCTAACATGGTCCGAAACCAAATTAGCCTTTGGGCAGGAGCTGGGGAGTTGGCGCTGCCTTTGCGTGTCTTTGTCTTTCAGCTCTGTTATTGTGTGATTTCACCAGGGTGTCTGAATGTGATGGGTTTTAAATAAGGCCCCAGGATCAGCTACCCTGGTGAAAATCAGGAATTACTGCAATAATCCAGAGAAAAAGAAAGGATTCTGGGTTCATGTGGGTGAGCAGAATTTGGTCCCTTGCACTTGAAAAAAAAAAGAGATTTGTCTTCCTTTCAGTTTTCCCTTATCTAGCTTGAGATTCTTCGAGTGCCAAAAATAATATTGCATATTACTGCCAGAACATTTATCTTCTCTTTGAGCTCATTTCAGAGACGGGATTTGTTCAGGAGGGCCTGGGAGGGGAAGAAGGCTAGGGTTTTAAAGCTCATCGTTATCTCTAGTCTCAGTGCTTTGTAAGTTAAAAGACAAATCAGAAATAGACGAAGTCATTCACGCCGAGGGAGGTACCAGTTTATCTTCAGACAACACAACCTCTATTTAATTTTCCATCCAGGCACCCCAGCACCCTTTGCCAAAGTGTTGTACATATATGGGGCTGGCTGAGGTTGGGGGAGGAAAGCATTTTTCTGCTGCTAATAGCAATACCTTAGTGTCACTCATGATATATAGCCAGCAAAGAATGCTTTTTCTGCTCCAGGTTCTGCTCAGTGTAATGAGTGCAGAAGGAATAGCGCAAATGCCTCATGGAGCTCACAGGAGGAGTCCTTCATTAGTCCAGTTGTCTCCAGCAAAGACTGGGAACATTAGAGGAGAAACCCTCTTGTTTATAACTAGCTTATTGAGGTGCACAGGCATGGAGTTGTTACTGTGTCACTCTGCTAATTGTCACAAACTTTCA